CGCCAATAACGCATATGCCTACTCCCAGTCTTGTTATTCAAACAGAATTGGCGTTGGAGTGAACTTGAGGCCGTACAAGTAGCCACCATCGTCCTGAGTCAATCCATCTCAATGCCTTACCACCTCATTGCAGTATTAGTGCTCCCGGTCGAGTCTGCCGGATGAGAAATCATAAAAACTGCGGTTTTCCTTTTCGAGGCCTTAGCTCATGATCTGTCCGTCTTACACTCTAACAAGATCGGCTTGGTTCTTCTGAGCTGCAAGTGCCAGAGGATTCCCACCGAAAGATCTGAAGCCCATTTAGGGCTTCAACTGTACGAGATAAGGGAAGGAGATAAACTTTAAACTCTCAGATCAAACTGAAGACAGTTGACACAGTAATATAGTCAGCCTTTCTGGTTGGAAGGCAAGTAATTTCAAGATTGGGCAGAAATAAAGATAACGCGAACCAGGTAAAATAGTCCCTACCTGAATATGTCATTTAAAGGACGAATAATCAGCAAACTGCCAGGGTAGAAATCGAGGATCTCGCCGACAAGAGGCTACTACAACAGCTGGAAGTTTGTAGGAAGAACGTTCTGAGCTTATTCATACTAACTCGACACCAGTTTAGGTGACAAGGTATCAAGATCGTCGGGTACCGATTTGCCAGGGTAATTAGCTAACAAGATAAATGTAGACGACCAGTGGACATTTTCAAATCTCCGATTTGTCTACTTTCGGAATCGCACAACGGAATATACTATCCCACTTTATTCATATTTTGCAGCTAGAGCAAGATTTTCGGATCCATAAGTTTACTCCAAACATTGACATTTAGGTGCGCTGAAAAGCCTATGACGTAATAAGAGACCGGTAACAAACAAGAGGAGCAAGATAAAAAGGTTCTTTGTTTATACTGTTGCATGAACATAATGTAAACTACCGAGATCGATTATAAAGGAGCACGCAACGGGATCCAACCCCGGTGGTATGTGGTATGCTTTAGTGTTTATCGTTTTGCAGAAAGGTCAGTGCTGGTTGCTGTTATCATCAA